AGGGCACTGGACCCAGAATCCATGTGATGCTGTTCCCCTCAAGGATTTAAAGTAATGAAACGTAAATGAATAAAAATGGATTTGTGTTGTACAAAAAAAAAAAAAAAAAAGAATCAAATGGACCTGTTAGAGATGAAGGTTATAATATGGGAAGTCAAAATCTCCCTTGAAAGTATTAAAAGCCAACTAGATCATACCGAAAGTAGAATCTCAGGTCTAGAAGATAAAATTGCTGGCCTAGAAAAATCCACCACAAAGACTGAGAAAACTGCCCCCTCCCCTGAAAATGAGAATAATATAGAAGAAATACTAGATAACATCATATGTCCAAACATCCATATAACTGGTATCCCAGAAAGTGAAGAGACTCATAACGGCTTTGATAATCTATTCATAACGGCATTGAAATTCTGCAAGAAAACTTTGGCCATAGGGCGGGTGCCACCACACCCTTGCAAGAAAACTTTCCAAACCTAGAAAGGCACTCAAAGATCCAGTCCCAAGAAATACAAAGGACCCCAAATAGAATCAGCCCAAGAAGATCTTCTCCAAGACACATTATAGCCAGATTGACCAAAAACACAGACAAAGACAAGATACTGAGTTTGGCAAGAGAGAAACGGCAAGTTACCTACAAAGGATATCCCATCAGGCTAACAGCAGACCTCTCATTGGAAACAATGCAAATGAGGAAAGAATGGAAAAATATATTCAAAGTGTTAAGGGAAAAGCAATTTCAACCAAGAATACTGCACCTGGCAAGATTATTCTTCATAGAGGAAAAAAGACAAGAACATTCTCGGACATACAGAACCTGAGAGAATTTACCAACACCAGATCAGATCTCCAAGAAGTTCTCAAGGAAGTGCTATACCAGGAAAACTAAATACAGACGCACAGAAATAAGAGTTCAAAAACTAAGAAAATGGCCAACTTAATCATAGGGACAAGTCTGGAGTTGAATATTATATCCCAGAATTTAATCGGGAAGATTGAGCCACAACAGAAGATAGACTTAAGTACATGAGACTGAACTGGTGAAATAGCATTTTATGACTTTTGACTAAAACATTGCTGATTTTCTTCTAGGCTTTGTTTTCCATTTTTAAAGATTATTGTCCTGTCTTGATCTGTTGCTAGGTTCATGTACATACTATTTGAACAGAATCCTAACCTGTTTCCTGGCTTTAAGTTTTAAGCAAAGTTTCTTAACATTTCTTTGATTTATTAGTTAAAATTGTTTTTCTTGAAATTACCAGCTGAACTTCGTATTCAAAGTATTTAGATTATTTAAGAAATTTTGTGATCAAACATACCAGATGGGAAATCACATTTTGTATGCTGTGACAATGCTCAGGGAATGAATTTAAATTAATTAAGAAAAATTTTTCAGAAAAAAAAAAAAAGCTCATGGAAATACATGTAATGGGAAGAAAACTATGTATGAATTTCAAAAAGTTTTTGTACCAAAATAAATTCATAGCTTAATTATAAAAAAAAAATTTAAATTTAATTTTAGTGAAAAAAGAAGTTACCTTAGTAATCTGTACCTAAATACATGCTTCCATCTCCATTTCCACAATATTTCCTTATATTTTTTTAAAACTAGACACTGTTGTAGCCAAAAAATTATAGAAAATAAACACTTTGTCTTATTTTATGCTTGTGTGTGTTTTTGTTTTGTTTTGTTTTTTGCCAGAGGAGTGTGGGCTGGCCAGCAAGAGACAGAGAGGGAGAAAGCACCCTCCAATGGGGCATAGTCACACCATAATCCTTCTTCCTCCACTTGTCAGTATTTTCAGTACTCATACACAGCTCCACTTGTCAGTATTTTCAGCATTCATACACAGTTGCCTAGCTTTTTTTTTTTTTTTTTTTTTTGAGCTATTGGGATGAAATTTGACTCGGGTTGGTCATGTGGAGTCTTGCTCCCTTAACAACCAGGCCAAGAGTCAGCCCAATAGCCCAATAAACACTATTTTTTTCTTTTTTTTATTTTTAGGTTTTTGCCATATGGTGTGTGTGTGTGCTCACCAGAGACAGACAGAGAGAGGGAAAGTGAGAAATCACTCCCCATGGGCTGGAGTTGGGAGATGGTCACACCACAATCCCTTCTATATTCTCTTCACAGGATTTCTCATACATGCACACAAGCCCAGTGTGATTTTCAAGCCACTAGGTCTGGAACTTGAACTGTGGTTGGCCATGTGAGAGTCCAGCACCCCAAATGCCATGGCACCTGCTCACCTCAATAAGCATATATTTTAAAACTACTAAATATAAGATCTGATCTTGGACAACTAAATCCAACAATTATAATGTATAAGCACAGTTTTCTTTAAGGACAGGAAAATGATTACATATTACCAATTCTTTCTTGATGCAACCAAAGGAAATGGTCAGCTAAACCACCTGGGTGTAAGTAAGTATTCAGTAAACAGTAGTTAGTATTTTTACTTTTCCTAGCCCTTTTGGTTCTTGTATCTTTAGGACTTCTCTAATTTCAGACCAGGTACAACTGGGACTAGAGGGGTTTGTAAGACATCAGGTTGAATTTCCTAACCTGTTCACCCCACTACTAACTAGGCAGCTAAAAAAATAAGAATTCTTCCAACTGAGACTAGTGAAAATGACAGTTTCTTCCCCTTCATAAAAAGCAATATAGTCCCGTCCTGCCATAAGTCCCAGTTCACTAGTAAACACATAAAGTCATTTATGAGTTCTGTAAATTTGTTGAAAAGTCAAGGTTTTGCTGTTCCACGTAGTTTAATTTTCCCAGATGTATTCTGTACATTCATGTCTGAACATGGAGGAAGTGTTCTTCTCAGACCTCCCTCTGCTCATTTCTGATCAGATTTCATTAAAAGGTATATTCTTCTGGCTGGCATTCCCAAAATGAGCTGCCTGTTCCTGAAAAGAATCAGGTTAAGTTTTGGTGTTCCCTAGTTATATTAGCCTTGATTGACACATAGCTCTATTTTTTCATTCATTTCCTCTTTAACACAGTTGGTGAACGCATAGCAAGGTAATGAACTACTTGTGAATTTTCAATATTATTTCCTTTCAAGAAATATTTCTCCTGAAAATAACTTTTAATATGTAGCAGGTATATTTACTCTAAACTTATGTTTTCATTGCTACTACCAGCATTTTTGTTAGTGTATATCTGCCCAGTCCTTAATTACCTGTCACCTCAAACATTCGCTTCTTGAATGAAGTGACAACATTTCCATCCTTCCGCCTGAGTAAGGGGCTGCTTCTCCTCTCTGCCACTTTCTGTTTTAACCTGGACCGCACCTTCAAGTTGGGCTCAGAGGCTAGGGATTGAGACAAAGAAAATAGATAAAAATTAAAAAATAGAGAGCCAATTGCTCCTGTGTTATAAAAATTAAAAAAAAAAAAGTCTCATTCTTTTTTTGGTCTCTTCTCATTCTCAAATTAAAGACCCAAGCATGTAATTAAGGCATTGACTTTAAATAAACAGACAAATTTAATTATTTTTATGAAATGTGTGAAATGAATTTTCTTCTCTCAATATGAAAGTAAAAAGGGAGAAAAATATAAGTTTCCTACTTATTTTATGTAGCAGAATTGGGATAGTTAATGAGAAGTTGAGTCACTAATTATGGGTCAGAGTAAGATTTATTATACTTTATTGTCAGCTCTCTTAACTCTCGAGTGAAACTCAATAGGCGCAAAAACAGTAACTTAATGTGATTTTAGACACTTTGACCTGACTTTCAGTAATAAGAAGATACCTTTGTAGAATACAATTTATGACTAATTCTGACTCCTGGGTTATTGCCTTGTCAGTAGTTTCTAACCTAAAAGCCTGGGAAAATATATTCCATGTAATAACATTGAACCAACTAGAATCACTGTGAACAAGGCTTCCTATGCATTCAGTATACCATAGACTAGATGGGAAGGGTGGCCAAATCTAAGAACTGAAAGTTCTGAGCTAGGTCATGTGTTCCTAAATACAAATGCACACTATTTCTACATGCTACTGTTTCTCTGGCTAAACTATTCTAAATAGTAAAGCTCTATAAATAATTATCATTTATCATGTGTTTAAATAATTATACTACAGAACAATGGAATCACTGGACTGGATCTTTGTGTAGAAATTAAAAGATGATGATGATGATATGGTGAAAAAAATTATAAGTGTTAGTTGTCATCAATATCAGTTGACGTCAATGATAACTAACACGTATATAGTGTTTTCTATGTTTGAGTACTGTACTAAGCATTGTATCACTATTAATTTAACCACAAAAATATCCACAGGGATAAATACGATTTATAATTTTACAATATTGATGAGGAAAACAAAATATAAATACAGGGTAAGTAACTTGCCCAAGGTTATAGAGGTAAAAAGGAATGAGTCATGATTTGAACACAGGCAGTCTGGCTCAAGTCTTTTCTTTCAAATTCTGACTATAGTGTCCCTCTACCTCTTCTTATGTATGAAAACTATTAAAATTATAGAATACCTTTTCAAAAACACTACTCAGCATTTAAAATAGATATGCTACTATTAGAGTTGAACCCTTTGATCACTGAAAATGTTTTATTTAAAGAGATACATGTTTTTGCCAATAGATAAGCTGCTATTAGAGTTGAACCCTTTGATCACTGAAAATGTTTTATTTAAAGAGATACATGTTTTTGCCAGACTACAAATGTAGCAAAAGGTGTACTGAACAACCATCCCTCCTCTTGCTTGCTTTCTTATTTGAAACACATATACTTATTTTTCATTTTGATCTTTCTTCTTTATTAAAGAGGTTTTTTGTTTGTTTGTTTTTGTCCACATGAGTTTTACCAGAGAAAGAGAGAAAAAGCAAGCCGTCATGTCAGGGACTTGAACCACGATTGACTATGTGGGAGTTCAAGCACCTTCACCACTATGCCACCTGCTGGCCCCTCCCTCTCTTTCCTTTCTTTAGAGCTTTAAACTAAAACTGAGAACCTTTGAATTATAGGGGTTCTTGGAATGGGCCAGGTGAAATAGAAACAAGAAAAAGGATAAGTTCAGATAAAATTAAAGGAAGTTTTTTTGTGTGTGTTGTATTTTTTTTTTGGGGGGGGGAGAGGTTTTTGCTATAGGGCGCATGTGCTCACCAGAAAGACAGAGAGAGACAGATAGAACAAGAAGCTTAGAGTGATAGAGACAAATGTATCACATTACCTCCTACCTTGAGACAAAGAAAGCAAACAATTCTGGAAAAGATTAACGTTCTTGCCAGACCTGCCAAGAGTGGCAACCTGCTTTGCCTTATGGGAAGTCCTAACCTTAATTACTAAGTCCCAACTCATTCAGTACTAAAGTGAGAAAACACAGGTCGATTGAATTATTTTGATTTGTTTCCTTGTATACATTTAAGTATTTATTTAAAAGTATCAATCTTGGGGCCGGCAGGTGGCGCAGTGGTCAAGGGTGCTGAATTCCCTCATGATCAACCATGGTTTGAATCCAGGACGTGGTGGGATGCTTTCTCACTTTCCCTTTCCTCTCTCACTCTGTCCCTCTTTGATCAAAATAAATAAATAAAAGTTAAATAAAACAATTATTAAAAAAAGGTATCAATCTTGTCTCTGAAAACTTACAAGTAATAAATATATTCTTCTAAAGCATAGAAAGAAAAAGTAAGGACCTATGAATTACTGTTGGCATCCTTTCTAAACCTATTTATAACCTTACAATAAAAAATATTCTCAGATCTAGACATTATCACACTATAAAAACTAATAGATTAAATTATACAAACTGGTTGTCCAGACAATGTAAGTCAATTGGTTAATCACCTCAAGGGGCAGTGTGTGGAAGAGGAAAGGTATTGCATCTTCAGTGACAGGATGTGCAGTGGAGTCTGCAGGGCACCACTTGCCTGTTATGGGATTATTTTCAGTGAGACTCCAGTGCTTTCTGAGCCTGTTTTTCACTTGTGCTTTCTGAGCCCAATTTTTCACTTGGGAAACATCAAGTCTAAGACCTTCTTGGCTCCACTGGATGTAGCCACCCAATTAAGTACCTTGATAACTGATAATCTAGGTGAATGTAGAAGGGAAGAAAGGATTTATGGAATATATATTATTGGTAGTAGTGTTGAAGGGTACACAGCTAAAAATGACTGAGCCAGGACTGGATCCCAAATCTCCTGATTCTCAGTGCTCTGTGTCTCTTAACACACTGCACCAGCTGGGCTGAGTGTCTACAATCAAGACAAAATATAGTGACAACTTGCAAAAATAGTATAGGCCATTTAAACATTCTGTGTGAAAACTATTTTCCACAAACTTTCAGAAAGAAATGATATTTAAGATTGCAGATGGGCCAGCGTGGTGGTTAAGGTGCTGGACTCCCACATAGCCAACTGTGATTCAAGTCCCAGACCAGAAGACTTGAAAATCACAGCAGGAGTATGTGCATACATGCCCAAAATTCCAAGAGGATAAGGGATTATGGCATGGCTATTCTCCCTGGGGGGTGATTTCTCACTTTCCCTCTCACTGTCTCTCTTTGGCAAGTGCACATGCTCTAAAAAAGGGGGGGGGGGGGTGTAGATAGCTTTTACTCCTGTTTGTCTATTTGAAAACAGGGTAGATATACAACATCTTCAAAAAGTTCATGGAAAATGCATTGTGAAAAAAATTATTCATGAATTTCAAATTTTTTCTACATCAGAATAAATTTGTTTTTCAGTTCCATTTTCTGTGAACTTTTTGAAGTACTTCATACAGCTATTACAATTCTTCCAAGAGTCAGCATAAGAAAGCAAACACCAGAACAGGAAGGTGAACTGGGTTCTAGTCTTTCATCTACCACCGACTACAGTTAATAACCTTGAGTAGTTAATAGTCTCACAGCATATCAGTTCATTCTTGCAAATCAGCTATGATAATAGAGCCTGAAGTCAAACGTGTGTGTGAGTGTGTGTGTGTGTGTGTGTGTGTGTGTGTGTGTTTTAGGTTTTTGTCATAGGGTGTGTATGGTCACTGGAGACAGTGAAAGAGAGAAAGAAAGAGAGAAAGCATCCCCCTTGGGGGATAGCCACACTGTAATCCCTCCTCCATTTTTTTCTCAGGATTTTGAACATGCATGCACATGTGCCCAGTATGATTTTCAAGTCTCCAGGTCTGAGACTTGAACCTTGGTCATCCACACCACCTGCTGGCCCCAATACATGTGTGTTTTAATGCTTATTCCACATACTAGCTGTTTGGCTTTGGATAATTCACTGTACATCTTTAAACATCCCCTTCTCATGCTAATGTGGGGATACTTTTTTCTTGATTTTCTCTATTTGTCCCAAGAGATTGCAATTTCCTTTATTCTCTGACCTCATGGTGGCTAAATTTTAAAGATGAGTCACTCCAATCCTTTATTGGTTGAATGTCATTTGGGCTCAATCTCCAGACAGGACAAGCTGGTGATTAGGATTAAAGAGGGAGGGAGGGACCAGGCTGTTCTACACACTCTCTGTTAATGGTGCTACATTGCCAGATATGATTTGTCACTTCCTGATTTCATCTCCCTCTACAGGTCCCTGCTCCATGGCTCCAGTTCCTTTATACTCTAAGAATAATTCCCTCTTCTTTACCCTTCAGCCCAAGAAGGGAGAACGGCTTCCTGCTGTTGCTGGTTTCTGGGTGCCTCCACCTTCCTATGCAGTTTCTTTGACCTTGTTCATTTCACTTTAAGTGGTCTTTTCATAAAAATCTATGATCCATGCTGCATAGGTCTGCTCCCTGATTAATAGCATCCTACATATCTTGCAGTTACTGTAGAATCAGATGAAATAATGCCTAGTAGAAGATGAGTCAGTGTTGTTTTTTGTTTTTGAGAGAAAGATTTTTTCTATTGGGTGTGTGCACATGCTAAAGAGACAGAAAGCTAGAAATCACCCCTCCAAGGGGAATGGCCACTCCACAATTCTCCATTCTCCTCTCAGGACTTTTGGGCATGCATGCACATGTACTTGTTAAGAGTTTTAAGTCTCCGGGCCTGGGACTCAAACTGTGGTCAACTATGTGGGAGTCCAGCAACATAACCATGATGCCATCTGTTGGTCCCTAGCCAGTGGTTCTTAACCTGGAAAGAATTTCATCTCTTAGGGAACATTTGAGAATATCTGGAAACATTTTGGTTGTTGGTATGGGGAGTTTTTACTGGCATTTAGTGAGTAGAGGTCAGGAAGCTGCATATCATCCTACAGCAAGTGCACTGGACCACTTCCACAGCAAAGAATTTCCTGCCCACTCACATGAATAGTGCCAATCATCAGAAACCCTGGGTAAGCAATCA